GAGAGAGAGAGAGAGAACAAACAAACAAATGAACAATGGGGTTTTTAACGAGAAGAACATGATGAGGAGATCCAGAGCCACGTGCGTGGGGGTGTGTGGGGGATGAAGACAATGAGTAGGAAGAGGAAGAGTGTTTAGGATGGGACACCTACAGAAATAAAGATGCTGGGAGCATAAAGCACCTAGGGGGAAGGTCCTAGTTTTCTCCTGAGTGGGGAGCATTACTGTCTCACCTAGCAGTAGGACACAGTACTGTGTGCCTGAAACAGTTCAGTCTATTACTTGGAGTCACTGGGCCACTCTGCACTGAAATGTCAGTGAATGTAATGCTGGATACAGGCAAATCCCATCTTACTGCTGCTGTTACAAACACAGGGTATTTGTATGTCATCGCCAATTGATGCTTTGCTTTGTGGCCTTGCTAAGCTCTCTGGCTACACCGGGCATTAGGCTCTCTTTGCTTGCCTTTTCTTTCTTTCTGAGTATCTCCTTGCTCACCTTTCAGTCACTAAGCACAAAGCACCTGAGTGCTCCATGGGAAGCAGCTGAAAAACGAGCTACGACTGACATGAGTATTGCCATCTGCATGTGTGGTTTGTGGCTTCTACTTGCAAGCTTCTAAGTACCTTTGGATGTTTCTTACAACAGGTACCTGGAAATGAAGGTGCTGAATGCATTGCGGAAGCAGGCTGTCATGCATCTAACTATTTCTGGGACCTACCAGGGTCAAGAACTACTTCCTCATTGTCCTGAATTTATGTTCTCTCTACAATACAGCCTCCATGACACTGACATTCACTCCAGTGGAGTTAGGAGCCAGAAAGAGGTGTAGGGTTGCGTGCTAGTAGAACAGGTACCTCATTATGCCAGCCACCAGAGCAGGTTGCAGTATTAACATGGGTCGGGCACAGTGCACATGAATACAATCTTTCACGCCATTTGGAACTCCAAGCAGCAGGGTTGTGTGCTGTTAATCTCCTCCTGTGTCAGAGGATGTGTAGAAGGCCATACCTGAGGAAAGGCTCTGGGATGCTACTGAGGGAAAGGGACCAGCTACTCCTGGAAATGTAGCCTTTTCCGGGCATTTCTAGTCCCTCTTAATTCTCTTGGATTAGGGGATTAATCCTGATCAGACATAGGAGGGATCACAGTAAATTCTCTGAACATGGATATTGAAGGTGTTTTTTATCTAACATACACTGTGGAGGTGATGCCTGTTTGTGAATATTAAACCCCCATGATGCTTTTCTCAATATTGGTACCGTTGGCTCCAATGTTCTAACAAATCCAAATCATTTATATCACACCCAGCTCCCAGAAAGAAATGGGCTCCTTGAATCTGCCTTCCAATGCTGTGGTATGCTGTGAAGAGTGGAACCTTTCATCCCTGAGTTGGGAACATTCAGTTGGGAGCAAAGGGGTTTCTTCATAGCAGAGATTGCCATTTATCCACAGTTGGTGGACAATGGTAATATTATATTGGTGGCTTGGTAATATTATTTTTCCCTTCACTTTCATTACAAACATAAGCAAAACAGTTACTACAACAGGCAAGTACTTTCTGTGCATGGTAGCATGGCTGAAGAACTTGTTGAGTGCTTTCTTATTCTCCAATGGAAAATGCTAGACAGACATCAACTGCTTTTACACAAAGAAAGAGGAAATACATAGTATTTGTGCCCTGCAAAACTGAATGTGTTACTGATTTTTTCCTGCCCCATGCTAACCAGCAACCCAGGTAGTTGCTTTCCTCTGCATGTGTACAGGCATTGAGAAAAATCAAATGGCTGGCATATACAGTGAAGGATCTTGGTCTTGTTAATCTAATTCATTCCTTGTCTTCCTCTACTTGCTGCTTTGTGGTTAACTTACTGCTGGCTCTGGTTCTGTCTGTGCATTGAGTTACACCAATGCCACAAGCAAATGGCTGTTAGTTTCTGGAAGGACATCATTCACCTAACTGACTGAAGCCTTAGAGATGGGCCCAAACAAACAGCCAAAGCACATATCCCAATTTCTGGCTAAGAAGAGAAGGGCTATCAAACTCTCAGTCATTTTGGGGTCAGACCTCTGTGAGCTCCACCTGCTTCCTTCCACATGAATGCAGATGCTTTGGAAGGGCAACATCTGTTTCCCATCTATGACTTCTCTCTCAGAGATTTCCCTAAGCCTTCCTAAAACTGTTCTAGGTTTGTGGGTCATGCTCTGCTCAGACTCAATTCTATCTGCTCAGATGCATTTCTACTTCTTTTAGGTGGATACTCTTTTTCAATGAAAAGAAAGAAAAAAGAAAGCAAACACTCAGCCTTGAATGCAGGAATGTGGGCAGATCTGCTTCTTATGTGGCTTTGGACCCCTCATCTTCATAAGCAAATGGAGTCAGCAGAGAGAATGAAAAAGAGCACTGAAAAAAATGCTGGAGAGGGAAAGACTGCTAGGTTGGGAGAAAAGGGGAGGGCAATATCTCTAGTTATTCAGCTGAGCAGTTTATTCAACAAGCTTAGAGGGAAAGAAGAGGGCAGAGTAAGCAGGGCTCTGCAGGAATCGGGGAAGTTTTTTGTTTTCATGTAGACAGGAACAGTAGACAAAAGTACAACTTGCAAGAATGGAGCAATAAAACATTTTAAAAATTGTATTTATATATCTTGTATTTGCTGAGTCCTGATACAGGATTTTTAATCTTCCTATTAAAATATGCAGCCCCTGTTTCATCCACCCTTTCTCCTCCCCATTCCCTACTGGCTTTCAAGTGCCTGGAGATTTATTGCAGTGTAAGTATTTAATAGTCTGCTTTTCTTTGCCAGTATCACTACTGGATTCTTTACAATCAGCATTTTCAGGTAAAATTTTAATGGGAGGCAAGAAATCCTTAGGGATGTTTAAAGAGAGCTACTGAAATATAAAATAGGCCATTTCACTAACCCTTTCCTTCCTTTGCCTTTTGTGGTATCTGGACTTGTAATTAAATACTAAGTAATAATGCTCTCTTATCCTGCAGTCAAGAAAGAACTGATCCTACACTAAGCAATACAATCACTGCATTGATGTTGTCTACATGACAGCTTGTTAGCCCACTCTTGGGCTGGTCTAAATATTGGTCTTTGGATAGACAAAGCGTCCTCACATTTTTCTCAGGAGATATGTGAACATGGGTCAGCTATGCTGGAAGCATGAAAACGGTGTGTGGTGTTGCTCCTCTTAGTTCTCAGTTCCCTTTGGGCTTATACATTCAGTAAAACAAGACTTGAAAATGCTGGTGATGATGGATTAGAATAGCTTTTTCAGCAATCTTCCACTCCTAGCATGCAGTGCAAAATGTGTGATAGGCCCTTACACCTCTAAGTCCATATGGGGGCATCAGAAAGGCTGCCTCTCTTATTTCAGAAAGTGAGATGACATCCCATTTCCTCTGGACAGGGATGGAGGTTTGGCTCACTGATTCTTCAAAACTTCCCTGGTGTTTCACACATCTGTAACTAAGGTCTTCTTTCCCCTTGAGAGCAAATGTTCATCAGCACAGAGCAAAGAAGGCGTGAAGGGTAGCAAGGGTGAGAAATTGTGAGAAGGGTCAGAGGCAGAAGGGGAGGTTCAGAGCATTAGGTTAAAATCTGTTAGGAGGAGATGGATATGTCCATTTTTGAGTTAGATCAAGGAGCTGTATGCTGCAAGATGTGGAGGGGGAATGAGTTTGAAAACAAGCACTGAAGCTTATGGAAGGGTCATGTCTTGAAGGGATCATAGAGGAATATATTTCTGGAGAAGGCATTGGTTTGTGGCACCTGTGTGCAGTACTGTCACGGCCAAATATGAAAGAACTCAACACTGTGAATGCATTTGAATATAACAGGCACTAAAAGGAAGGAGACAGACACAAAAATGTAAAAGGAGGCTGGGCAAGTGGACTGTATCAACCCTCACAGTCCTCAGTATTTCATCTGCTGTTCTTAGGCAGTCTGTCTGACATTGACCTAGCCCCACTCGTGTCGCAGGTTTGAGAAGCAAAGTGGAAGTGGATAAATCTGGTAAGAGAGGAAAGAGAAAATGAGGTGATTCACTCCAGGCACCAGAAGTGCCACCAGGAAAGGATGCACCTTGCAAAGACCCTGTTCTGACCTTGCAAAAACTCTGCCCTGACCTTGCAAAGACCCTCAGAGTTGTCCATGGACAAAAACAGGAGGTGGTGAACAAGCAGCTTCAGGACAAGCCTGGAGGCTTCAGTCACTGATTAGAGCCTGCTGTTTTGTAAAATTTTAAGACAGGCAGATAAGGACTTCATCCTGTTTTCATTGAAGCAAATAGCAACATTCCCATTGACTTAACGGAAGCAAACCCTGAGGCTCTTCCTTCTCCTGTGAAACCATCTCTCTCAAGTCTATGTATTAATGCATTAATCCTTGCGGTGCTGACAAAACCAATATACCATCTGTGGGATTACCCTCTGCCTTTCCTTTCTGTATAGCTGAGAAATTTGGGGTTTCTACATTTCTAGCTTAGGCTTTGGGAGAAGGTAAATGGGAAAAGATAGGTCTCCACTGGAAACAGAGACCCCCTTTGTCAACCTGACTTCCCATATTCCTTCCCCTGTTGCTTTAACATCCTTTCTGACTGTCTTCTGCCTGCCTTTGCTACTGAGGTTTTCTTCCTAATTCATTCCTTTCTCTTTAACCCCTTGTCTTTTTCATCCCTAGCTTGCTCTGTATTTCGATAGCAGCTGTGGTTTCAGTGAATCATGTAAAAAAATCCAACTCCTTTCACATAAAGCATTGAAAAACTCCCTTGATGGGTGATAATCCATTCCCTTTCAAACCCATTTTGCTACTTTGACAGAGTTCTAGCTTTCTTTGTTAA